CACGGTGGCACTGAATGAGACCCTCGTGGTGAACCTGTGCAGCATGTACGAGTTGGCTTACGTTAATCACTCCGATATCAAGAGAACGTTGAGCAATTGGATTTCGAAAGTTGCTCCAGACGATTTCGATTCCTCTTGTACTAGGATTTGAGGTGCTTCCCGTTTCTCCGCTGCTTGTGCCCTCCTTTCCGGTGTTATCGACTGTGTTCTGTCGAACTTGCTTTTGGGTACTGCAGGAGGTAAATTGTCTTTTTATTTGGTCGACATGATTGTAAAGCTCTGGTCTGACTTCGGTTTATCAGGTAGTGCTGCGACATTCTGTAAATTCTTCAAAAGATGTTACCACATTGAGGTACATGCCCAGTCCCCAGATTTGTAGCGAAACCTCGCAGCATAACGTGAGAAGCATCTCACGAATTGAATGTGCACCAATACAATGATTTGCACAACCAGATCGTTTCAAGTTTGTGGCGACGAGCATTTTTTCTCCTTACATAAGCTTATATAGCCAGAGTCTGATATGGCATAAGAGGAAGGCAATAGGCCGGTAAAGAAACACTTTGCAAACTACTATCAAAATCAAACTTATATAGATCAATTCGTTTATAAGTCGGTAATTGAGTTGGCTCTTTAGCTACAATATTGAGAGTTGAGACATCTCATGAGATTTAAACGTGCTTGCTCACGAGTTGAACTTCACAAGGCATCGAGGTGAGCTAGTTTGCGAGCTCCACAAGTTGTAGATTGAGTAGCTCAAACTCGGCTTATTAGTAAATGAATCCAGTTTCAAATGAGTTTTTTCTGAGTCGAATGTTGAGCCGCTCAACTCATTTGTAGCCCTAGATACAACCCGGTCCATTATCTTTATACTCTTATAATTACTGCTTTAAATATTTATCAGATCTTCTGACTTAGCAGTGACGTGGCGCGTTGACCGTTAGTCAACGCGTTTGACCGTCCAAGTTAACGGTCAAATATCGGGTTTGGCCAAATTGTTTATTTTGGTGTATAGTTCGGGCCAGGATGTTATAGATCGAAAAGATTGGCCAGAATGTTTATTTTTGTCAAAGTTCATGCCATACGAAAATATTAATCCTAGAGAAAACCAAAAAGAAAAATCAGAAAAGGCGGGAAACACAAAGCTTGGTTGGGGAGCGTGACCGAGAAGCTTTGTTTTCCGATTAAAAAAAACAAGCCCTAATTAAAATTGGGCGCCTAAATCGTCAACCTACTTACCCGCGTCCTCTACTCCTTCCCTCCCGCTTCCCATCTCCTACTCCACTTTCCCTTTTCCCACTGTCTCCTCTCTTCTCGTACTCGCCGCCGCCACTTTCTCACCTCCAGCCATGGTCGTGCTTCGGTCCCGAACAGTCACTCCACAAACCCTAGCCAAAGACACCACTCCCTCCCCCTCCGTCGTCCCGCAGTCCCCCGCCGTTCCTCTCCTTGTCTCTCCCGCCACTCCTCCTCTCTCCGCTTCCCGGCGGAGCGGCCGACTTACCTCCAGATCGCCGCCCACCGATGAAACCCCTCCGACTACCGGGACCAAGAGGAGGAGGAGGAGGAGCACTTCAGCCGGTGTCTGCTCGATTGCGAAGAATAAAGCGGTCGATGAAGGGAATCCGGCGGCGGATGTTGTGAAACAGGAAGCGGAAGAGCTTGAAGCTTCTCTCCCTGTCTCTCCCGCCACTCCTTTCCTCTCCGCTCACCGACGGAGCGGCCGACTTGCTTCCAGATCGTCGTCCATCGATGGAACCCCTCGGTCCACCGGGCGCAAGAGGAGGAGTGCTTCAGCTGGTGTCAGCTCGGAGAATGAAGCGGTCGTTGAAGGGAATCCGGCGGCGGACGGAGTTGCTAGCGAAGGTAATGTGATTGCTGATAGGGTGAAACAGGAAGCGGAGGAGGAAACCCCTCAGACTACCGGGCGAAAGAGGATTGCGGAGAGTAAATCTGCCGAGGAAGGGAATCAGGCCGCGGAGAGAGTTGTTGACGTGATTGCTGAGAGGGTTAAACAGGAAGAGCAGGGAAATGATGGAAAAGGTTTGAGTTTGGTTGAGAATCGGAGTGTGAAGCGCACTAGAAGATGGACCAGCGAAGAGAAAGGGAAGGGGAAATTGGGGGAAGTGGGCACTTTAGGTACTGCGATTGATGTGAGAAATGGGGAACTACGAGTTCCAGGAACCTTGATTATCGACGAGGGCCGGGCTGAGCGTGAAGGAAGGCAAAACCCTAGTCGTCAGCCTTCCACAGTGGTCACGGAAAAGGCTAGCAGAGAAGAGCAAGAGAGATTGAAAGAACGAACAAAGGATGCACTGTCGAAGAAGACCGAATCCGGTTCTCGAATGGACCAGTTCAAGGATGCAGCACGAAAGAATGCTGCTCGATTTGCTCATTTCGAAGCTCAAGAGCATCAGGAGGCGGCTCCTCCTGGTGTTGAAGCAGCTGAGCAATCCACTGAGGGGGATGATGAGAAGGTTGAAGATTGGCCTGGTCCATTCTCGACCGCGATGAAAATTATTAGGGACAGATCAAATAGGATGAACTTGCAAAGTGAGAGAGCAACTTCTGACAAGGCCAACTCTGTTGCAATAAATTGGACTCCTAGAGGAGATGTTGGTGGCTGTAATCGCTCAAGAACTTTGGTTCCTTCGTTGGAACAGCTGTGCATGGAAGGTCTTGCCAAAAATGCTGATGCAATAACTTCACTTGAGTGTGTTCCTGATGTTTTCAGACACAGGCTTTCCCAGTTGCTTTGCGATTCTCGAAAGATGAATACACATTTTCTGAATCTTCTTGCCTGTGGCTCTCCTTCTGAGATACGAATCAGGGATTGTTCCTGGCTAACGGAGGAAGAGTTCACAGATTGCGTCCAGGGCCTTGACACCAGCAACTTAACGGTATGTTTAAATGTAAACTTCAATGATCACTAACACTAGATTTTAAAGTTGGAATAAAGTGGTGAGTTGGGTATATATGACTGAATCTCGCAGAGCTAGAAACCAATGTTTCAATTGTTATTCTTTGACATGGTATGGTAATGCCCCAATCTCATTGCTTTCTTTATTATCAACGAGTAAACTTCTTATGAAGCTGACTTGCGTTTTGTCTTCTTTTCAGGTTCTTCAACTTGACTATTCTGGGCGAGGCATACCTGATTATGTTTTACATTCTACCTTAGCCGCGTCTCCAGGCAGCATGCCTGTATTAAATACTTTATCTCTGAATGGTGCTTATCGCCTTTCAGATATTGGACTTAGATCACTTGTTTCTGCTGCTCCTTCCCTAAGATGCCTGAATCTTAGCCAATGCTCCCTTGTTTCTGCAACTAGTATAAGCATTTTGGGGGACTCATTGGGTTCTACTTTGCAAGAACTGTACCTTAATGACTGCCAAAGCATTGATGCTATGCTTATGTTACCTGCATTGCTGAAGTTTGAAAATCTTGAAGTTCTATCAGTGGGTGGTATTGAGAGTGTCTCTGATGACTTCATTACGTGCTTTGTTGCTGTGTGTGGCCATGCGACGAAAGAGCTTGTTCTTTCTGGCTGTGTGTAAGCATCTTTTTTCCCTGAAAGATAATCTGTCTCCCCTCCAGTTTTCATACTTCCCCTTGTTTTTTATGCTGACTGTCGGAAATATGCTGCAGGAAGTTGACTGATTCTTCCTTGAAAGCCATAGCTACAGCATGTCCGCGCCTGCAGTCACTCAACCTTTCAAATCTGAGGCAGTTGACTGATTCTGCTCTGGGATATCTTGCAAATGGGTGTCGAGAAATACAAACTTTGAAACTTTGTCGCAACAATTTCAGGTACATTATATCACGATTTGGGAATCTTTCAGTCTCGGATTTAAGTTATTGATAGTTTCCAGGGGCATTGGTATTAACTTCTCTTCTTTTGGTTCCTGTTTTTTGGCTTACTGAAACTCAATGAGGAGTACTTTCTAATGCTCCCTTTCTCTTGTTCTTTTTGAACAGTGATGAAGCTATTGCAGCATTCGTAGAAGCCTATGGGGAGTCATTGAAAGATCTTTCACTGAATAATGTCAAGCAGGTGAGAGTTTGTCGAAGAACATTCTGATGATGATGACCTATTGAGGATTCAGATACATAGAAGTGTATCAAACTCAGTGATCACAAATTTTCTTTTTTCCTGTTTCAATTATGATGGTTTGACTCGACACATAGTCCATTTTTTCAATTCAATTTTGATTTGGTTGTGGACCAAATCGGCTCTCGCACACCCCTATTAGGAGGTCTTGAGTGCAGAAAAGCAATCATATTCATTGCTTATCTTCTTTATCTGTCCTCCTATGTTTGTTATCAGGTTAGCCACAACACTGCACTATCAGTTGCTAGACGAGCAAACAATTTGCAGAGTTTGGATCTATCGTGGTGCCGGAACTTGGCAGACGAGGCGGTTGGTTTGATTGTGGATAGCTGCCTGTCACTGAAGGTGCTCAAGATCTTTGGGTGTGATCAGGTAAACAGATGTATAAAACAAAAAATCCGACAGAACAATTTTTCCGTCTCATTTGAAACACCTGACATGGGTGATTGTGTTTTTCTTCTGGAACAGCTGACGGATGTGCTACTATGTGGTCACTCGAATCCAGTAGTGGAAATCATTGGGATGAAGATGTCTCCAGCATTAACAAATGTCAGAGTGATTGATGCACATGCCTTCCCTGTCCATTATTCATCAGTGCTCTCCTCCATGTAATTCGAACCTCTGTTAGATATGGAGGGTCGACCTGTTTGAACCTAGTTAGTGGTAGTAGGATGTTTATTTATTTACTCTCGATTAAGCAGGTACTAAGAAGTAAGAAGCCATTTTAATGATCACTGCATGTAAATACCTTCCTGTTTGGATCAAAGGTAGGAAGTAAACCTCAAATTTTGAGGGGTGCAAGTAACCTCCTTTTGCTTTACAAATAGCTAATGCTGCAGTTTATGATTGAATCGAATGAGACAACATGTATTTGTATTAAACTGAAGTAGTCACTGGTAGCAAGCAATGAAGAGCAGCATTATGTACAAAAATATGTTGTTCTGAAACTGTATTAGATCGATACATTGTATTGGTATGCTTCTCTCTCAAGAAATGTCCGTGCATAGATTGGTGCTGAATTGCCAAATCTAAGTCTACACATATTATCAGATCAAATTCCTGTCAAAACTAGTAATAAACTCTGGCCTATGCCGTGCTGGTTCTCTGCTTTGTAAACTGAACTCCTTTCCTGTATCACCAAATCTGTACTCATCTATACAAGCTGCAACGTAGGAGGTAAGTGTTGTCTTCCACCAGTCCTTCACTTGCCTCTTCAATCATCTGGCAGACATATAATCGAAGTCAGAAAGACAGGACAAACAAACGAACAAGAACCAAGCTGAGTAACCAGGCAGCAACAGATAAATAGTTCGCTACTGGACTAACCTCAAATCCCATCTTCTCAAAAAGCTGCAGTGCAGGTTTGTTGTTTCTATCCACATGAACGTACATAACTTCCACACCTGCCACCAGAATTAACAATATTCACAACTTAAGCCTCATGAACTGTAATAACGAGCCATTTCTAAGTTTATATCCTGTGATTTTAATACCTACCATTAGACTTGGCCGTTTCAATTGCAAACTGCATCATGTTAGTTGCTATCCCATGATGACGAACAATCCTCGCGACCGTCAAGTCGGAGATGTAATCGTATCTGCCTAGAGTCTTTCCGTATACCCCAGGGAAGATCTATCCAGGCAGCAACCAGTAGAAAGCTTGTGTATGCGTTTTTATAACTTAAAAATGTAAAAGCGTAAGTTATAAATTTTAAAGCACAAATTTGTCTACATTGATCATAATTAATTCAAATAAAAGACAATTACTTTTTGTAAATTTTGCTTGACTTATAACATAAATTATGGGGCGTACTATTTGTAGCCCTAAATTATCTTTATTTGTAGTCCTAAATTATAAAAAGTACAATAATACCCATGACATTTAAATACATTTACTTCACACATTCCAAGACCAAAACATTCAAACACTTTTCCAAACACAAGCTTTTTTAAATACATAAGAGAATATTTAGTGATTTTATTATTGTACATTCAACATTCTACATTGATCAAAACATTCAAACACTTTTCCAAACACAAGCTTTTTTAAATACATAAGAGAATATTTAGTGATTTTATTATTGTACATTCAACATTCAACATTGATCATAATTAATTCAAATAAAAGACAATTACTTTTTGTAAATTTTGCTTGACTTATAACATAAATTATGGGGCGTACTATTTTTTTTTTTTTAGATAAGGATGATATAGGTTATTATTTGTAATTAGGTACTACTGAAGGGATTCGAACCTGGAACCTCCAGGTTCAAGGCTAGTAGTATTACCATTAGACCAATCCCTTGTTCGTATGGGGCGTACTATTTGTAACCCTAAATTATCTTTATTTGTAGTCCTAAATTATAAAAAGTACAATAATACCCATGACATTTAAATACATTTACTTCACACATTCCAAGACCAAAACATTCAAACACTTTTCCAAAACATTCAACATTCAAACACTTTTTTAAATAAATATTAATTTAGATTTTTCGGTTATTAATTTAGATTTTTTATAATAGATTGATGAATAATTTAGATTTTTAAGAACATTTAGTGATTTTATTACAGCTCATTATTTTATGAATATTTTAATTATCATATTGTTTAGAAAAATTTGTTCTAATATTATTTTTAAAATGAAGTTATTGAATTTTAATTTTTCATATTTTGAAACTAAGTTAATGTTTCCTGAATTTAGACTTTTAATTGCCATATTTTAAGAATATGTAGTGTTTTTATTATTGTAATTTATTATTTTGTGAATATTGTAATTACCATATTTTTAGTAGGATTTGGGAGGAATCCGGCGAGAGGTCGTCGTCGCCGGCGAGAATATTTGGGAGGAATCCGGCGACAGTTGAATTGGGAGGGAAGGGAGTGTTTGGTTGGAGTTGTAACAAGTTCAATATTTTAAAAGGAAGGAAGGGTAAAATAGTAATTATATTCTCCTAGGGCTACAAATAAGAAAAAGTTAGGGCTATAAATAGCAATTCAGTAAATTATACGTCAATTATTCAAAAATATAATAACTATATATAAGACTATAACATGTTTTTTCTTCACGAATAAGATGATTGGTTTAGATTATGTTATAAACTATGCTCAATACTCAATAGTTGTGAGTCTTCTCGAATTATGCAAACACTACGAATGGCTAGAAGGAATGAACCCATAGTTGTACAGAAGAACACAATAGATTACCTTGATTGATTTTTTTTAAAAGTTTTCTTGAAAATTGACAATACAAAAAAGCAGTCTTATTGCAAAAATCGCTCGTGCAATTCTTTGCAATTGATGTGCGAATGAGGACGTGATCGAGTGGTCATGCCGCTAGTTTTCAGCCTGGACCCCCCCAGATTCGAATCCCAGGAACAACGCTCTTTTCTACCCTCCCCACCTTTTTAGTAGCACCTTGTAATAGATTTCTATAAATAAATAAAAAATTCTTTGCCATTGATGTTTGGCAACAAGGATAGACAGCTAGAATCCTCTATTTTTCATAATCAGCGACTAAGCAGTGAGCCCAATTATTCTCAAGATTTTTCATGTTGCTCCATCATAGGATCAATGGCATAATCAAGACTAGAAATTGAGATGGACATAGAAGAAGAGCATAAGCAAACAACACCTTGTAGCTCTCACGTTACACGACTTATCTCAAGTTTGGAGAACGAAGATCAAGTACATTACATACACTAACCCGGTTTACTAACAATCAAGTATTGGCCAAGATAACTAATCTTTCAAAATGTCCCACTATCGGTAATACTGCCTAAATTAAATTCGATATATTGTTTCACATTCGTATACGTAATTTCCCACTACAAAATAGGTGACAAATCAGTATTAACATATTACAACTTTATCATATTATAATTTTGCCGCCACACCAGTGACCCCATCAATCAAACAAAGGGAAAAAACACACAATAATCAGCTAAACACACTTTCAAAGGTTTTCAAACACTACCCTTCGAAATCAGTTTTGCCGTACTTCCCCTGCAACTTCTCCCCAGACTCCACAACCTTCAACTCCGCCGCATTCCCCGTCGCCAATTCCTCCTCCTCCTGCACCCTACAAGCCATCCGCCGTCTGCTGCTCCGCCGCTTCCCATAGCGTCGAGCTCGGCCTCCAGCCCCTCTTACTCCCTCACCCACCAGTGGTGCACAGCTCAGCTCAGCACCAGCACCGCGGCCTGGACCGCCGCCATCGCCCCGCACTCCAGCCTCACCAGAAGCTTCGCCTCCCTGGGTTCGGGATGGAGAATGGGCTTCTGAGCTTGGTGGTTGAGCTGGAAACGGAGGATGATGCAGCAGCCATGGTGTTTGATGTTTTTGCCGCTGAAAGAGTTTGGTGTTTGAAGATGAGGTGCAGGGGAGATTTTGGTCGAATTTACAAGAAAATGGCAGAGGACGAAGAAAGGGATTGGGGGGAAATTCGTAATGGCCGTTGTGGGGGGAAATATTGCGCCCGTGCCATCGTTTACAAAGTTGTCACCGAATCCCATCTAACGTCTATAAATGGTGAAACGCGCATTCGAACGGTATAAGAACAATCTTGCAAAAAGAGACACGCCAAACCAAGCTAACTGGTGAATACAAGTACTATCAATCACATTCCTCATACCAGATAAATCAGGATGGCGCGTTGCAACTTCACGGACCAACAAGCTCCAAAGGGTGCACCATAGCAGCATTGCAGCGCAATGGTGGCGGTGCGTTTAGAGTTCTGGCGACTCCCGGGAATGTACAATCATGAGGTCTGGGTTCACAATCGTCTCGATCCTGTCCAATGAGGCATCAAGTCGTCCGGTCTTCATGTTGAACAATGACTCGTCCTTGCCCAAAGCCCTGTGCCACCCAAGTTTCCTTCCATCAATTAAGAGGAAGAAAAAAAAAGTAACACTTACAGCTTATGACTAATATGCACTATAGGTGCTAACCACAACCACCGTGCTGCACATAATTTGATGACCACATACTAAAGCAGTAAACTGGAGTAGGCTGCACACCAGTAAAGCTAGGTCTTATAGCCCTTAATTTATATACCATATAAATGAAGTAAGAGAAGAAGATCAAAGGAGAACTTGCCCTGTAACTTCAGGGAGGACAAAATCTGCTCGCCACCCGAACCTGAAATCTAGACCGGGGAACAAACCGAGTGTCGTCTTGTTCCGGATTCGAGATATACCATCACCGCCCAGGCACGTGTTAAGCTTCCACTGCCAAGCAAGGGCATTCGTCTTGAAGTTATGGCCTATGCCAACCTGTAACTTTAGAGCTGAGCAACTTCTATAAAGTAGCAGAGATCTGGAAAAAAGAACCGCTTGCAGTAAAAGTACTTTGCTGTATTAAACCATTCCTTGCATCAAATCCGAAAAGCAGAGTGAAGGAAAAAAATGAATCTTACAAAACCTGTATGTTTAGAAATTTGGTCAAAGGAATCTTTTTGGACTGAATACGGATTTCCTGACGTATAGGTTTGCATATGAACTTCCATTGCCGCTCTGCTGACAATGGCTTCAGAACAAGCTTAGTTTGGACATCATTAATGGGAGCATTGTAGAACTGGGTAAGAAAACAAAAGGAAGAGTCCAGGATTTACAATACATAGAAAATGATATCTTCTTCATAAACGATGATTGAGAATGAAAGGAGGACACACACTGAAACCATCCACAAGAGATGTGGTGCATTGTTTCATGAATTCCACAAAGACTGACCTGAGATAAACACTTGAATTACAAACGAAGGGTTCAAACTTCAACATTAGCAATTCACTTACACTTTACCGCTTATAATGTAACCATATAGAAACCCACGTTTTCTCTCTCCCTAAAAGGCTTAAGATGTATAGATTTCAGGGGTTTCAACAGTGAACGGTGTACTTTAAGAGTTGAACTCATCCATGGAATTCAATTTTGATACTGATAATGATCTCATTTCTGGGTTCGTTTCTTTCAACATCAACGAGAAGCAGTGAGCTGAATGTCTTCTTAACAATTGAAAGTTGAAACACCCGAAAACAGAAAGCGAAGCAGTAGGCAAATTGCCTTCTATTTCTCCAGACACATATACCTCGTTTAATAAAGGATACAGTGTAGCGTTTGCAAAAACATAACAGCATCCTTTCATGCATCACACCCCCATAACTTTTCACAATATTACACAGACAAAGGAGCCACATTTATACAGTTTCCCCAAAGTTTGAGGCTTCTTTGATATCCATAATCCTACTATTCTACACTTCAACCAATGAATACTAACATAAACTATCTTTGATCAGTTGCAGACTTGCGCAATTCACAAAACTAAGCTACTGGGTAAGATTCTGGGTTAGGAGTTAGGACAGAAGTTATAGCATTTCCAAAATTTGCCCCAAATTACAATTCACTGCACCAATTCTTAGAACAGTAAATTGACTAACTAAAGCTGAATTCTCATGTACCCAGACGAAGGAACCCAGTAGTCATTCCAGTAAACGAAAGGACACGAAATCAAGGAGGAAGCAAGGGCGGAATTGAAATGAAGAGTATACCTCCAGATTGACACCAATCCGAATCCCTTCAATTTCTTTCCTGAACTTGAAAAACAACTCTGAAGGAACCAAATTGATGTCGCAGAGCTCATCCCATGAAGCTGGTTCGTCCTGGCTTGGCAGACCCGGCTCCATCATTCTTCAACTTCTGCTTCTTCTTCGTCCAGCTATCTGACAGCTACAACCCCACCTAGTGAGAAAGAGCAATCAAACTCGACTCAGCAGAAACCAAAAGTCTTCCCAACTCCTGCAATTGCATCATCTGATTCCGAACCGTAAGCAATTCACATTAACTGGCAAGCTGCAGTCAGCGCTGCGAGGTTACACGAGAGGGACACTGAATTCTGTAGGCGGAGAGTGGAGTAAGTCCACCAATTCGAGGGCTTATTACTCCTTTTTTTTTTTCTTTCTTTCTTTTTCTAAATAACAAATGGGGCTAATTGCCATCAATAACCAAATCTGAACCCTTCATTTATAAAATCCAGATCTGAGGATGGAGAATTAAAGGTCATTTTTATTTTCACGAGTTTTCTTAATTGACTCATATCTTTTTCGTTTTAACTCATATTTTAATTTTTTTTTTGCACAGATGGAACGAGTTCATCGTGCTCTACAAAATGAGATCAATTTTCAATATTTTTTTAGGAAAAAAAAAATTCTGGCCTCTCGGTACCAAATGCATACCATATGGTATCTTCTTCGTTTTTAATTCGTTTTTAAAAACGTTTGCACAGCAGGGACGAGTTCATCATGATCTATTGGATCTACAAATTTCTGGGTGAACAAATTATAAGACAAAAAATACCACACAATACCATACAATACCACCCTGGTACGGGGTGGTATCTTATGGTATCTTATGGTATACAATGTTAAAAATCATAAATGACAATTAATATACTTCTACTATAATGTATTCAACCATCCTACAGTTTTGGTTTGTGTCATACCACCATGGTACGCTTTTCAAACCATAGGCATGCTCTTATTTCAATACCAGTCAATACCATATGGTATAGACTGGTATAAAATGACTCAATTTTTTTTGTTTGAAAAATATATCAAAGTATATATCATTTTGAAGAGCACAATTAATCTGATCTAACTGTGCAAAAAAAATTAAATTTCGACTTAAAACGAGTGAGAAATCGTCCGTCAAAGATCAAGGAGGGGAAAATTAAATGCTTTTAAGGAGAGAGAGGATGCTGATGTCATGCTGATATGGGCGGGTTACTCATAGTTACTCATCATAAGGTTACTGACCTGATCCGTTCCCCTTGGTCACTGAGATTACAAAAACGTTGACATTTAGTAACTGTAAATATTTAAATTCAATCTTGGGCACTCAAATTAATTAAATGCAAGTTTGTCAACCAGGGGGGTCGACCCACTTTGACCCTGACTCGATGAGAAAAACGGGCCGCACGCACCTGCTAGGTCGACCGATATAAGGTATCGGTGTTGGATGTCAAATTGTGTCATTTTTTTCTTTGGTTTGCGAAATGCCCCTATTTTTCGATTTTTTCTTTTCACCTAACTCAACCTTTGGAATCTTTAGTTGATCATTTGAATATTGATGTTATATAAGTGTGTGTGAATTTTCACTATATGTTGGATCTAAGTACGACATGTTACTTTGGTGTAATGTTATATGTTATTACTCATATGTTAGATGAGATTTGATAAAATTTATCAGGATAAGTACAATATAATGACTCTTTTCATATTTCCGGGCTGAAACGGGCTAAAACGGATGATCCATTAACCCTTGACCCACTAGCTCGACAGGGTCCGAGTCAACCCGCGGGTTGACAACCTTGATCCAAACCTATCGAAATACTAAGAATTAGTCAAATATTAACTTCCAATTAGCAATTTTGTTAGTAATATTGACTTGGCAACATGATACTGACTTGGAAGAGACATATGAATGTCAACATTTCAAATTTGAGTATTTTAACTTAGAAACAATTACAAAATTATCAACGATAACATAAAAATGGCTAATATTTTGATGCATTACGAAAGATTTGGCTAATTAATAGTATTTTAATAGGTTTGAATAGTATAAAAGAATCTGAAAAAGATTTGGATAAAAAAAAGACATTATCCAATATTTAATTTATCCAATTCATTTGATTACAAGCAATTGTATCGATGGATTCATGGATCGTTGACAAGTTACAGTTAAGTACCTGTATTTTTATATATTTTACAATTTGGTATCTAAAATTTCTTTTTTTTTTGTGAAAATTATGTTTTTGTACCTAATTTTTTTATTATGACATTTTATTAACAAAATTTTTCAAAATTTACATATTGGTCCAAGGCGTGGATGTTATTTGGATCCACCACTATATATTATCTGATCTATGAATCCGCCGATCCATTTGATTCATGAATCTATCAATCCAATTCACCAATCTACGGATCTAATGTATTTACCACCTATAGGTGTAAGGCAACATGCAAGACATCCGGTATGACCGTACTCACCACTCCAACCAAGACTCAATTATGTTAGTATATTGGGCGATATGAACTTGCTAATTTTGTAGCGGTGTGCAGTGGTCCGGTCCGGACCGGAGTAAACTAATGAGAACTGTGGTTCAATAGTGAAAGGCATATTAGCATCAAGGGCGGATCAACAATGCATTCCATCTTATTTGGTCTGGTTTGGTCCGATTAAAATTTCAATTCAGTTCATTTTTCTCAATATTAATTGAATTCATAGGACCAAAGACCGAATCACAAGAATTGGTTTGATCTCGTGCGGTCCGTTACGGACCAACCGTTGCAGACCACTACTACCATCTTTTATGTAATCTAATTATCAGTTTTACTTTTATATCTAATTATAAATAATGATTGATGGTCAAGAGAAAATTTAATTTTGATAATGTATATACAAAATTAAACAAGTAATGCAAATTCCAATATCTCTCTCACCATCTGCAACAGCGTACCGCGAATGCTTTTCTAGTAATATTTAAAGGCAAAAGCTCTATCTATCTATCTATCTATATCTATCTATATCTATCTATCTATCTATCTATACTAAATATTATGGCTATTCAAAAATAACTTCTTGCCACATAAGCACTTGGTGAATGCACAAGTTGCCAAGGTGGACAATTTTTTTACAAACAAAAAACTATTTATTGATCTATTTATGAAGCCATCTCTCTCTTCTTTTAATAATTCTACTTATTTTTACTAAAATTAAAATAAGTTAATTTCTTAGAAAATATTTAAACAAACAAACACATACATAAGTAATCATCTTTTTTCAATTAAACAAACTATAAAGATGGAAGCAGAGAGTGATATATCGTATTTGTTTAACCCAAACTGATTAAATCTGATTAAGTAAATTTTCTACTCATTTTTACTAAAATTAAATAATAAGTTACATTTTGATGAAGCAAAGAAAACACACATACATAAATAATAATATTTTCAATTAAACAAAACATAAACGATGGTCTAAGAGAAAACAAGCGTTTGATAATCGATCGACTTTGAAAAATGATCGATATGACTATATGTTTTTTTGCTATCAAACACTCACTTCTTTCTAATGTATATACCTATCAAATAAAACAAGTATAAATTTTATAGCAAAATGTTTGAATATAAACTTGACAGAGCAATAATTGTTATTTTTTAAAAAACTTCTTCTTTATTCCGATTAAATAAAAACATATTAATTATTAATGAAAACTTTTAATTTTTTTGTCCCTTTTCCCATTTTGATTGTCTCGCTAGAAATAAAATCCAACTTTGAAAATCAGAAATCAAGAAAGTATGTCAACCACCATAAAAATAAACAAAACCCTCTTATTAGTTGCTAATTTTTTTGAAATTTCTAATATTTGTATACTCATAATTTATAGAGAAGGAAATGGTAATGCATATGATTTTTTTTCTTTGTATGAGAATAGGAGGCAGGAGTTACACGAGGCAACGATTAGATGACAAAATTTTGAGCAGTTGTAACATATTTTTGTCTGTTAACGAAAAAAGTCCATCTGATCATTGTGAAGATGAGATGAACCAAGCCGAGGGTTGTCGACTGCTCCCTCTTCCTCCTTGATCTGAAGCTGACAACTGGTCTCACTTTCTCAGCGATACGTTATTGTTTGCGGTTGACTGGCCGAGTTATACTCTTCTTCCCATTCTTTTCTTAATTTCTTCCAAATTATAACTGCTGGATGGTAAATTTTCCCACTCTTGATGAGTGAATTTATTTCTTCTTTGTTTTTCAAGGAGAAGGGTCGTCATATACTTTTATTTAAATATATAAAATATAATTAGAAGGGTTCATTGGTTGGACTTAGGGCATACCTCATTTGATTGAATAATTGATCGTTTTTCTTGAATGCCTATTGCAACCCTATTTCTTGAATGTTGAAATAGAAAAAAGAGTTGTGATGGTTGTTTATTATATTTTGTTTGAGCCCGATCGACTGGGAGTCGCTCGGGTCCAAGGGGTTTGGGGTGTCAGCCATGACCTTGAAAGGGTAGGCGCCCCTCCTCGTCCGAAGCAGAAGAAAAGGAGAAGTATGTAGAGAGGGAAAGTAGAGAGAAGATAGAGTAAAGAGTAGATGATCTTATTTATGAGGAGAGAACTCCTATTTATACACAATTGAGGGTTAGGTAGTGGTCTGGGCGCCTGCCAAGCCATAAATGCTCTGGTCGGGCGCCTCAGACTCTCTGACACTGTTCATAGTCCTTTTGGCAGAGGGTGTCCCCCTGCCCCTTGTCCTTGCTGATGTCAGGTGCCTGACCTTGTCTTTTGTCTCCCAGTCTTGTCTTTTTCCTCTTGTCTTCTTTCCTTCTTCATGCCATTAGCCATGATATTAATCCCTTAATTACTATGATACCCTATCAATTGCCCCTTTTGGCGATGGCACAAGCAGTGTGGCATCGGCAAACAAATATGTTCTAACAAGGTCTAAAAAATGAAGCTGAAAGGAAGGTCAACTACTAAAATAAAAAATAAGAATAAAAAATAAAAGTAAAAATGAAAATAACAAATGAAAATGAGAACAGGGAAGAATTAAAAAAATAGGTATCCATACAGGATAGGAATAAAGAAGACGAATACAGAAATACCAATTCGTAAGGATAATGCCTCTGCAATCATGGCGTCTTTGAAAAAAAGTTTTAGGGGGGATGCGAAAGCGTTACCCCCAATAGACTACTTGTGGTGGTAGTGGGTTAAACCCTCCACCAGACTCAGGCCAACTTGAGGGGGAGGGTGGATGGGTTGGGCTTTAAAGAATAGCCTGCATTGGGAAACGCCCATGTCTCCCCCAACCCTTATTTAAGCTGATTTTTCCCCCCCCTTCCTTCACTTTTTCGGCCTCTC